GCGTTGAAGCTCATTGAAATAGTTATCAATTCTCCTACCTCACTTATTGACATTGCAGGAGCAGCAGTCTTTAAAGGGTCACTAAACCCCTCGTCAGAGCCTGACTCCACCCACTGGCAATATTTGAAAAATGTTGAAAAAGTGGGCGGACCCCAGCGGAGATAGAGGGGACGAAATAGACGCTAAAACACTCTATCCTGATCGTTTTCAATACTCGCAATTCCAACTCCTGACTCGCTAGTGGTTTTGATGAAACAAGCTGGTTTTTATACTACCACTCGTGCCAAGAGCGTGGTGAACTGAAACCCGCGTACGCCACGAAGTGCGGAACATCCAATAGGAAAATTCAACTGCAGTAGCCACCGTTCAACCTGAAGAGGGCAGCACTTTGACGTTTTTACACCATATATTGTAGAAATAAAACACTTTACACAAATGTCAAAAAAGTAACTTGAATCAATGACTGGTATTAATAAAGATTCTTTCTTACAGATCATTAACTAAAAAAAGTTGGTTTAGTGTTTAGTTACTCTTTAAAAACTATGAAGAATGCAACTGATCATGGACTCACTGGATGAGGATGCCCGACCTTTTCTGCTCTCGGACAGTGATGGCATTCGAACTCCACGCTGAGGTGTACGAGAACGCCTAGAACCTGAAGAAAAAAAAAGTAAAGAAAAGAAAAAAACAGCGTTGAGGCTCATTGAAATAGTTTTTAAAGACAGCTGCTCCTCTAAGTGAGGTGATCGTGTCAATTGATTTGATTAATATGCTCGAGAGAGCAAGGCTCGTGTTGTTTGAAGATGCGAGTGCCTGTGCGTGGCCAGGGCGCTCTCTCTCTCTCTCTCTGCTCGTTATGCACCCTGTCAAGCACAGCAGTCTCTATTCTACGTCACTCACCGATCAAAATAGGCTTTACCGGGACAAAAAATTTGCTTTGGCGGCCGCCCAAAAAGCAGAAGATCTGGCGGTTTTAGAAGATAACAACAACTCAAAACTAAAAAACCGACCCAGCCTCTATTTGAGACTGGCTTTTATTTACCCAAACCTGCAGCCACACCAGATGTGTAAAAGACGACAATGCCTAGATCCTGAAGAAAAAAAAAAGTGTTGAAGCTCATTAAAATAGTTTGTAAAGACAGCTGCTCCTATAATAAGTGATGTAGGAGAATTGACAACTATGAAGAATGCAACCGAGGCTTCTATTTGGGACTCGGCTATTTTTTAATTGTTAATTGGACATGAAAAATTGTACATGGCAATGGCGATTCTATTGCCAAGGTGTATGTAGAGGGTTGAAAAAAATGTTTACTGACTTACTGGCTGACATTGGACTAAATGCTTCTGGTGATTCAGACCTTGTGGGTGAACGGTGAAGCGTTGAACGAGAACATCCAGTAACTGAAAAAAGAACAGGAAAGTTAAAGGGTTAGTTCACCCAAAAATGAAAATTATGTCATTAATGACTCACCCTCATGTCGTTCCAAGCCCGTAAGACCTCCGTTCATCTTCGGAACACAGTTTAAGATATTTTAGATTTAGTCGGCGAGCTTTAAATGCTTTAAAATATTCAAACTAACCCACTCATGTCACATGGACTACTTTGATGATGTCTGTATTACCTTTATGGACAAGGACAGTATAAGGTACATACATTTTCAATGGAGGAACAGAAAGCTCGCCGACTAAATCTAAAATATCTTAAACTGTGTTCCGAAGATGAACGGAGGTCTTACGGGCTTGGAACGACATGAGGGAGAGTCATTAATGACATAATTTTCATTTTTGGGTGAACTAACCCTTTAAGACAGTTTTGAGCCCAGACTTAAAAATACTTTATATTCCATTTGCATTGAGAGCAAGTAAAGTAGAATAAATATAAACATGAAATTACTGTCTGAAGATGCAGGACTCTCTGGTTGTCTAATGGCAGTGTTAGCCAGTTCTGGTGGTGCAGGTAACTGAAGCAGCATTGCATTTGGTCCTGTGGTTGTTAAAAGAAATTCCAAAACCAGAAGCATACAGCAACTTAAGTGACAGAAAAACTAATTTTGCCAACTATTCCCTGAAATTTGATGACTGAATTATACCACTGGATCAGCCCAGCTAACTATATTTTACTCACCCCTATGTGAGAGCTTTGGCGGAGGAACCGGAAGCAACACTGTATCCTCTTGACAAAACACGGACAATGAAATTAATCACAGTAAGATAACATTGAAAACTAATACACAGCCAACTTAATTAAACAGTACTCACCCTTTTTCTTGTCTGGCAAAGACTCATCCTCCTCAGCAGACAAATCTGACCCTGCCAATATTATATTTGTCAAATTGTCACTAATGATATGTGATTGTTTACATTATACGTTAACTGTTTAATGAATGTCCTTAAATAGGACCAAATAAATTACCTTGAACATAATCTTCAAATTTCCTTCTTTTCTTCATTCTCTTTTGACCGACTGTGTCCTCCTCTTCAGTTTGAGCTGAGGTGTAAT